TAATAGGAATCAACTTTATAGGCCCCCTAGAAAAGAGTGCCTCCAGACATGACATGATAACAAGTACATTCTGTACATGACCTGATACTCGAAAGCCATATCACTGTCTTTGTGTGGGTAGGAAGTCCCAAAGACATCCTGACAGACCAGGGAACAAATATCATGACGAGATATGTCTGCTGCCCTCTGAAAATCAAAGTATTATGCACATCAGTATGCCATCCACAGATGAATGGTCTAGTGGAAAGATTTAATGATATGCTAAAGAGAATGCTCAAGAAATTCATTACCCCAGACCCTCAACGCTGAAACCAAGTACTTCCAGCCCTACTCTTCACCAAAATATGTTGGGGAAGAATCAACATGGCTTTTGTAAAGGGAAATCACGCCTCACCAATCTATTAGAATTCGTTGAGGGTGTCAACAAATGTGAGGACAATGGTGATCTAATGGATGTAGTGTACTTGCACTTTCAGAAAACCTTTGGCAAGGTCTGTCACCAAAGGCTGTTAAACTAAATAAGGAATCCAGGGGTAAGAGGGAAGGTCCTCTCATGGATCAGTAATGGGTTAAAAGCTAGGAAACAAAGGATCTGAATAAATAGTCAGTTTTTACAGTGGAGAGAGGTAAATAGTGAGATTCCCCCAAGGTTCTGTGCTGGAGCCAATGTTGTTCAATGTATTCATAAATGATCTGAAAAAAAGGGGTAAACAGTGAAGAGACTGGGCAGCAAAATGACAGATGAAATTCAGTGTTGATAAGGGCAAAGTATTGTACATTGAAAAACATAATCCCAACTATACACACAAAATGATGGGGTCTAAATTAAACTCTTACCACTCAATAAAGAGATATTGGAGTCACCATGGATAGTTCTCTGAAAACATCTGCTCAATGTGCAGTGGCAGTCAGAAAAGCTAACCAAATGTTAGGAAACATTAGGAAAGGGATAGTTAATATGACAGAAAATATCATAATATCTCTATATAAATCTATGGTATGCCCATGCCTTGAATATTCTGTGCAGTCTTGGTCACCCCATCTCAAAAAAGATATATTAGAATTGGAAAAAGTACAGAGAAGGGTAACAAAAATGATTAGGCATATGGAACTGCTACCATAAGAGGAGAGATTAAAAAGTCTGGGACTGTTCAGTTTACAAAAGAAATGACCAAGGGGGGATATGATAGAGGTCTGTAAAATCATGAATAGGAAGTGAATAAGGAAGTGCTATTTACACCTTCACATAAGACATGAACCACAGTCACCAGTGAAATTAATAGTCAGCAGGTTTTAAACAAACAAAAGGAAGTACTTCTTCACAGAACACAACGTGTGGAACTCATTGCCAGGGAATGCTGGTAAGGTCAAAAGTATAACAGCGTTCAAAAAAAGAATCAGATAAGTTCATGGAGGATAGATTCATCAATGACTTTTAGCCAAAATGGTCAGGAATGCAACCCCTTACTCCGGTGTCCCTAAACCTCTGACTGCCAGAAGTTAGAGCTGGATTACATGGGCTGGATAACTCAATATTTTCCCTCTTCTGTTCATTCCCTCTGAAGCATTAGGCACCAGCCATGGTCAGAAGACAGGATATTGGGCAAGATGGACCATTGGTCTGACCCAATATGGCCATTCTTATTTTCTTAAGAAGCTCACAGAGAGAAAAAGGAAGACTGCAAGCCTTGGAATTTAAGGGCAGGTTGACTCATTTTGGGTTAAGTTGATGGACTGGGCTAATTTGAGATGAATAGAAGGGGAGCAGTTAGGAGAAAGCTGGGGTCTCTAGAGAGAACTGTTCCAAGAGCAGTTGACACAAGCCTTTCTGCTTTCAGAGCAGCCTTTTACTGAGACCCTTCTTTGCTGCTCTGTATAAAAGCCAGAGATGGTGAGAAGAGTTAACAAAAAGTCTGTGCAGTCGCTAAAAGTTTTGCTTACAAGTAACTTATTGACTTCATGCTACTGTGACCATGTTTTGTGTCCCTCAAAGGAAATATTGACCACTGTGAATGCTAGCACTTAACTCTGTGTTCAGTCATTCTTGTTGTTTGCCTCAACCAAGATCATTGATTACCTAAGTCTGACTACTCCCCCAAGAAATAACATGGAGATATCTGTTCTGCTGTGCTTATGTTCACAAAGAGAGAGCCTACAGGATGAAACAGCCATGGGGACCTAGCCCTTAAAGTCATATTTGTACTCTCCATTCATTTACATTGAGTAATGAGTTTGCTACACTTTCTGAGCTGATGCAATATCTGAATTTAGTGTTCTGTTGCATGAGAGAGACACAGACTCTTCTCTGAGCTGATTAGGTCTTAACTGGAGTATTGTGCCCAGTTCTGGGTGCCACATTTCAGGAAAGATGTGGACAAACTGGAGAAAGTCTTGAGAACAGCAACACAAATGATTAAAGGTCTAGAACACATGACCTACGAGGGAAGATTGGGAAAAAAAAACGAGTTTGATTAGTCTGGAAAAGAGAAGACTGAGAGGGGACATAACAGTTTCCAAGTACATAAAAGGTTTTTAGAAGGAGGAGGGAGAAAAAATGTTCTTAACCGCTGAGAATAGGACAAGAAGCAATGAGCTTAAATTGGACATTAGGAAACATTTCCTAATTGTCAGGGTGGTTAAGCACTGGAATAAATTGCCTAGGGAAGTTGTGGAATCTCCATCACTGGAGATTTTTAAGAGCAGGTTAGACAAACAGCTGTCAGGGATGGTCTAGATGATACTTAGTCCTGCCATGAGTGCAGGGGACTGGACTAGATGACCTCTCAAGGTCCCTTCCAGTCCTATGATTCTATGATCATTGTAGTCAGCTGAACCCTCAGCTGCACCCAGCGAACACTGGGCACAGCTGAAGGATGCTGCAGCCAAGAAGTAGTTTGCAGCTCCCCAAACTAGTGACAATTTCTACACCAGCCCTGGCTCCAGCACGGAGGCTGCTATGAACTGCCAGATTGTGAAGGCCCTACAGGGCAGCTCTCAAGTCTCTTTTTGCCTGAAAAATGGGTCAGATATTTGGTTTATTGTATTTGTTACTTATTGCATGCTGATGCAGTGCTTGGTAACCTATGGAACAGGGGAGGAAGTTTTTGTTTCCTGCTTTGAGGAGTTCACCATCTGTGGGTCCAGGTCTTCATGCAATTCTACCAAACATATAGCTTATGATGTCGTTGAAGCTATAGCAGTCACTCATGGTAGCAAGCACTGCACTTGGCAAATACGTATTTGTAGGACCAGGTCCTAATTAGACATAGTATAGCCTAAATATAATTTTATATAGACCATTACAAATTGAAGGAAAAAAACAGTCTGTGATTTTTGTTTGTTTTCACAAATACATTAGCACAAGACTTTAGATCTGAATTTAGGAAGACAATTATCTCAAACACTTCTTATATGGCCTTTCAGTGACAACCCACCAAGCCATGAGCACATGGAGTATTAGAAAATAAAGCGGTAATAGTAAAGCAGTCCCCTATAGTGTGCTGGATTGGTATAATACTTCATTGTGCTTTGCTTTCCTAGTCACTACCGGCACCACTGCGAACGTAGTAGTACATGATGGTGATATTATTAACTGCATCATGCATATTACTGATTTATTTTTTGTTCTGCATCATTATCCTTTCACCAGTGAGTTCATTGCATTATTTTCATATACTTAGTCAAGCACCAAATTATGAAGCAAGTACAGGCTCCCATAATAGTCCCTTATGGTACATTACATAAGCGATTATTGCTGCTACCTATTATTTGTTGCTTCCAGCCAATGAGGTTTCTACATTAATGGAATGCGCACAGAACAATTATGAAATAGGTAAGACTTGGGCAGTTTAAATTTTGCCCTTGAAATTATTTTGCTTCATTTTGGCCACCTGCTGGCAGCTCAGATGTCAGCCAACAAATAAATTGTGCCTTTGTTGCAATCAGCATATAGGCTCAATCAGCTGTAATGAGGTCAGATTACTGAATGACTCTCTGCTACCTTAATAATTAAATTGAATCCACACTTCTACTGCCCTCTCTTTCCCTGACAGCTGTAAGAAATGTGGCAAGCAACAGCAGTAGCAATGGAAGTACTGTAAATACCAGCACCTCTCATGAACTCATCTGACTAATGAAAGCCATGCTTTTGTCTGTGTTGTGGTAGAAACACTGAGCCACTGTAGAGCATGCTGGAGCACAAGTCCTTGGACAACACTTTATAATAAGTGGCTTAACAATCCATTAAGCAAGGAAGCAAAGAAAGGACAGAACTGTAGACATTTCACTCAGTGTGTAAGAAATCAATCTATAGAAGTGGACACTGTTTCTGTGTTGTATATTTGGGTTCTCCCCTTTGACACTGCTGGAAATTGCATGGAGCATAAGTGTGATAGCACTCTGTACAGATTCTGGTTCTGTGAGGGTGTTCCATTGCATTGCAGAATTAAAAAATGTCCACTTATTGTAAAGTGCTCCCACTGTAGGACTTACAGTAGAAAATGCAAGATTTCTCTTTTTATTGCTTATGGCCCATAATATGTCAAGCTTCTCACTGGCTTCACTGATATAACTGGGAAAATAAGTAGAATCGTTTCAGGGAGATTTGTTGTCTCATTACATGATAAACTCTATGTTTCTGAACAAAAAATTTAATAGTAAATCTTAGAAGAGGAGGTGGAAGGAGAAATATGACTCTGAGAGGGACTGGATAATACAGCATATAAGTGTATACATAAATAATAATATTTATTGTTAAATGTTTAAAACCACTTGGCCAAATGGTTTTGCTTGTAATAGTCTTTTGCAGCATCAGGTGAGAGCCCATATATAGTTTCAATGTCAAAGTACCTTCTAATATTGATGGTTTCCTTTGATGACTTCAGGGAGTGGGATCAGGAAGAATGCTTCCTTTTTCAGCCAACAGTTTATTTTACCCTTTTTGTTTGCATGCTTGTTTGTTAGTTTTCCCTGCAAAAGTAACTGTACGTTTTCTGTCACAGGCACATAGTTGTCTGTGGTCACATAACACTTGAAAGTGTGTCCAACTTCCTGAAGGACTTCCTGCACAAGGACAGGGATGATGTGAACGTGGAAATCGTCTTTCTGCATAAGTGAGTAATCTTTCCAACCAAAACCTTTCTTGCTAATCAAAAAGGTCTGAAAATGTCCTAAAGTCTCCTTGGAGTCAGTGTTGGTTTGAGGGTAGAGCAGGGGACAATGAGACTGTTAGGGTCAAACTTATTCAGTGACGTTAGACCAGAGATGTCTTTAACCTGTGCGGTGAAATCCTGATCCCTTTGAAATCAATGGCCAAATTCCTGTTGACTTTAATAGGACTAGGATTTGACCCAGGATGTCAATTTGTGACTCTTCTACTAGCTTTTTATAAGTCTAAGGTTGGGATTTAAGGAGGCTTACTTCTATTGAATTTCAGTGGGATTTAGGTGCCTGACTCCCATAAACTCTTTTTGATATTACCAGCCAAAATCTCTTTGAGCCTTGCTTTTCACATGTGTGAAATGTTAAAATACTTACCTAACATACAGCACAAACCAAACATGTATATAGGTGTGAACTACTATCTCTCCCGTTTATCATGATGACACAAAGGCCAAGATTGCATTATGAAGTCATACATTGCTGTTACAGTTTAAAAAGCCTTATTTCATTTTCCAATGAAGCTTTTTTAAGTGTGTAGTGTCAATCCATGAATACTTCCCAGTCTTGCTGTCAGTTGCTATTCTTCATTGGTTGCACGTTATCTGGTAGTTCCCTGCAAAATATCTTGTTAAATTACTGAGGCCTAAAAATCAGTTTCTAAATATTTGTATCCATTATTAATCTTAATCAGTGTCTTTCCTAGGAGAAGCTCAATATCTTTCTATAAGAAAGTCTCAAGAACATCCAGGCAGTTGCACAGAAATTTTTCATTTCTTTTCTGGGCCCAAATTCTGCCATCAGGTGCATGGAAGATCTCACATTGACTTCATTTAGAGCCGTACGCATCAAAGGGGGATATCTGGCCCTAACTGATTTTAGCTAAGCCACAACAAAGACTGAATTGGTCTGGTATACAGTTGGTACATTGTTCAATAGGTGTTTGTGTTGTTCTGCATCCAACAGCAAGTGGAAACAAATCATCACGGAAGAAAAAAGGAACAGATTGACCCAGCCTAGTTAGTTAAAACTTGACACTTAAAAAAAAAAATGCTTCCTACCATTCTCAAAATAATGCCTCTGCAAAAGAGGAGGCCTGACCAAGGATATTTTATACATGTCGTTAATAAATTAAGGAAGCAAATGCTGTACAAAGAATGAGAAGCCTTGATTTAATAGGCTGTACAAGAGAGAAATACCACTACATGCATCCGACGAAGTGGGTATTCACCCATGAAAGCTTATGCTCCAATACAGCTGTTAGTCTATAAGGTGCCACAGGACTCTTTGCTGCTTTTAAGAGAGAAATAGTTTAAATAAATTTCAAATTAATTAAATAATTAGTGAATGATAATTAATGAAGAATAATGAATTAAATACATATATCTGAATTTTTGAAGAAATAAATACCATGATAGATCAGATCATCTGTGGTTATCCTGATTTGAACAGCATATTTGCCAACATTGCGAAACTAATGGAATGTTGAGAATGAAATCTTGTTTTCCTATTTCAGAGTAACAGCCGTGTTAGTCTGTATTCGCAAAAAGAAAAGGAGTACTTGTGGCACCTTAGAGACTAACCAATTTATCTGAGCATAAGCTATTTCCTATCGGTTACCACAATTGTTCCCACCTACTAGCGTACTTAATAGTACCGGTACTTGAAGCCACTGGACTTCAGACTCATGCTTCTTATAGTAAAGAAACACTCAACTGTATGTCACTAGTTTTATAGATAAGTATATTTTAAAGAGTGCATGACACTCAGAAATAAGAAATAATATTCAACACATATTAATAACTACTGCAGAAGTTTTCTTTGGCCCTGGATAGTTCTAAATTTAGTTTATGGAGATTATATCATGCAATCTATGATGCAGATTGAGAACTCATGTTAGGAATGCCCATTCATAGGTATCTATTTCCATCTCCAACTTTTATGCCTCATCTGTCTAACAGTTGCAAGCTAAATTGCAGAAAAGCTGTGTTTTCTGATTCTAACCATATATTTTAAATATATGCTGAAACTTACTTAAAGATGTGCATAACTGGCTGCTTTTCCAAACACAAACATCACAAAAGAGATTCTGCTGCATTTAATCTTCTCTTCGGGAGATTACGAACCTGCAGAAGATGAGTACATCTTATGTAAATTAACAGAAATATCCCATTCCGATGACTTTGTTAAAAGATTGTTGGATTCTAAAATTTTGAAAAATGACTGGCATCATCCTGTAACAAGAAGTGCTCCATGGTACACTGCTGCTGCTTTTAGCTGCTCATAGAGTCTGAACAGTTTGGAGAAGTCCAGGATGCACTTTGAATTGTAAAAATGAATGAGATGATGAGCACTGAATGATACAAAAAAAAAAAAAAATCCACGTAGATCTATGAAATTGGTTCAGTCACCCCCAGGTATTGGGGCTCTCTGGTTTTACTCTATTAAACTGTGACTGCTAGCAAAACAGCAGTACTACAAAAACAAAATGCTGTTGCACAGGCATAGTGATGCTGCAGACAGATAGAAATAGCAATTGCTTTAAATTATTTAAAACTATATGTTATCTGGTAATATTAGTGATCATGTTTAGGTCAGGTATTTCCTGTCAGTTAACGACTGACTGGGCCACAACTTCTCCAGCCAGTCATTAGTTGCTTGGAATGCCCTTCCCGTCAGCAATTTTGCTTAAAGGTAGTTGCTGTTTGTCACTAGCATCCCGTTACACACAATTCAACATCAAATTGGCATGTCTTAGGGAGAGTCTGTTAGAAATAGCTATTTACTTGAGAGAAATATGGTGTTAACTGTCTTTTCCTATCAAGAGCAGCATGCATTTCTAAGTGCCATGAGCTGTTTTTGAATGAGTGATATTAATACACTTAACAGCAAGCAATCCACTTTCCTTCTTGTCAAACAAAATGATTAAAAGGTTAAGAATTATTTGTGATGATTGGATAACGGAAGTTGAAAATGCATAGAGTTGCTACCTGGCTGATTTTATAAGATTGCCATTAAATTGGAATAATGGATACAGTTGATATCCCCTGGTAACTGCTCGTATTTTATTAGGATAGGAGGGAAGTTTCCCTCTACATGACCACATGGAACTTAATTTCCAAAGGTTCCGGCACAAAAAAAGGTGTGACAAACTTGCACCCACAATTGCATATGCACTTTCAACAATAGTTTATAGAACTCTGATAACTGCCCGTACGCAGGATGGGTGACTAAGCAGTTACTACTCCTTTGCATGTGCATTTGCAGTAAAGGCACACACAACTGCAAGTAAACATTTTTTTTATTTAATTGACGCTGTTTACCTGGCAAGTAAATGCTTTCTTTGTTACTAAGAGAGCTAGATAGGTATGTGCCATATTTTTATAATGAATTACTTTTCATTTGACTACTTGCTTATGTGAAAATGACCACTGGTCAAAAATGACATGACAAAATTATAACGAATGCACTTAGTAACAGTTAATACAATCTAGAGGTATTATCAGGTCCTCTTGGTGGCTGTTAACCTACTGTATGAATTATACAGTCTGACTGTATGACTGGAATTGCATCAAAGTGCAGGTAGATAACTGTGTGGTGTGGTCTGAGTGAGCAGCCCATACACTAGGCAGATTTTCCTTTCACTCAACAAAGCCGAGGAGTTTCTAGGGCTCAGTGTTGTTCTTGTATGTATGAATTGATATTGCTAAGAGCACATCTTTGATGGATAAATTTGTTCCTATTTTCTAGGTTTGTTTGTGTTTCTTAATTAACCTGGGAGCTGTAGAGTTGATAAATAATGCTAGCTGCCAATGTGAACCTTTTCTGTGCTGTTGTGTATGATTCCTAGATCTCAGCTGTGCCAAGCAGTATGGATACTGCATCTATCTCAATGAGACAGAATAGTTACACATCAAATATAATAGTTACACGCACCTCACTGTGTTTGAATTGATGAGAGCTACTGTCATGGTTCCATGACTAGCTGCACCTCTGTCCCCTTTTCTGGTCTCTCTCAGTGCACTCCCTTCAGATGTTAGGCCACATGTCTTCCTCTGTTCTGGGTGGAGTTCTCTGATTCTTCCTCTCTTAGACGGTCCCTGATCTACATTACCCTACATGCCAACTGTGATTACTCAATAGGCTCGACCGGGTTAGGCATCTGCAAGTCTTTCCTTTGGGAGCTTCTGACGAGTGGCTAATGCAGGCCACTGGACAGCTTTCTCAGACCAAAGTATTGTTTACTCTTAAAAGCAGGAGCAAAGCACAAGATAAGAGAAAACAGCTAACCCTGTAACCATCACAGCTGCTACATTCAGGGAAGCTGGTCTTACCTCCATTTGGTAGGCCACATTCACATGTAAGTGGGGACATATGTAGTGAAAGGAATGGAGCTGTGCTAACAGTAGGTGAGGCCCACTGTTTTCACCCCACAAGAAGAGTATCAATGGAATTTCAAACAGTTTAAAAATTAACACAAGAACAGGACAGATATGTTGTGCAAACTTCCTGTTTGTTTTTTCTCCCAATGCAGTATCTCCCCTAACCTTGAGCTGGAAGCTCTTTTTAAACGACACTTCACTCAGGTGGAATTTTATCAGGGTTCAGTTCTCAATCCGCATGACCTGGCGAGAGTAAAGGTAATGATTCTGTTGATTCTTTATTTCTACTAGTTGTCGTCTCTTAAATAAGCAGATTCTACCTCCAATCCAACATCCACTGAAGTTAATGGGAGTCTTTTAGTTGACTTTAATAGGAGAGGTCCGATGGTTGTTAATATTAATGTTTAACATTTTAAAACTTGATGTTATAAACACTATTGGCACGTTTGCATAGGGGCAATTAGAAAACATTTTTTCACCCTTTTTCTATTGTCTGGTGTCCTGAAAAAGTAAATACAATTTGAGATATTTGCTAACTATAATAAAATGGCTGTATTGGTTCAAGTATTCTATGCTAAATTATTTTATCCTCTTAAAGCAAACCCTGAAGTTCAGAAGAGTAAAAGATACCAAACTTATATACAGCATTACCCCATTTCATGTCTTTCTAATGGGACGTGAACAAGCTTCTTAAATCGTAAAGATCTTTGCCTAATGTTAAGCTGTTCTAGTGAGCAGAAATTAGGATTTTTGCCTGTGCTGGCTACAAAAGCTGTTTGGTCCATTTTTATACAACATATGCTGAGCTGAGCTCCAATCAGCAGCATAAAATGATGTCCTTGTAATGGCTATACAATTCAGTCTGATTATCTTCTCTCTTCCATTCCCTGCTTTACTGTGTGGTATTTGCCCAAATGTACTGAAAAAAAAGTAATTTTGTTATATTTTAAATCTGCTACTTTATGCTAACCAGACCAGAGGTTGATGATTGTAAGTTTTGTCACTAGATTAACTTTGCCCCTAAAATCATTGATCTTCTGTTATTTTTATGATGTTATTGCCCAAGGACCCAAACAGCTCTGACCCTGTTGTAATAGTCACTGTACAAACAACAGAAAGACAGTCTCTGTCCCTATGGGTTTAGGAGCCTGACCTGCAACATGGAATTTTAAAACTTTGGCATTTAACCTGTTGGTACTTCGTTTTCGGTATCTCTGAAAGAACATTAGTAACTGGTAGTAGTAATAACTAAAGTCCTTACCTACCATGAGCACTATAATGTTTGGAAAGTGTTTTGAAAAGTTACAGTGATCAGTTCCATGTAAGTATTGGCACTGATATCATAAGGAGTCAAATCTACAGCTTACCCTAAGCTTTATACTCAGCAAAAACTATAAACTGTTGTTCTTGCTCCTGGAGGAAGAAGCTGATTTCTTAGAAGCCGGTGGCTGTGAGAAGAAGTTGGAAACAAAGATTTATATTTATGTTTGCTTTTTTTTTTTCCCCGGTGTCTCAGATAGAGTCAGCAGATGCATGCCTAATCCTTGCCAATAAATACTGCGCTGACCCAGATGCTGAAGATGCCTCCAATATTATGAGGTAACCTGAAGAGGTTTTAAATATGGTTGTCATTCTCATTTCTGACCAGCAAATTGCTGGTGTCTAGGTGGACCATACCCACATCGGTTACAGTTGAAAACTTCTCACTAATTGCTTCCAGAGAGAGGGAGTTAAATTGGGGGAGTGCACGGGATTGCCTCGATAGTGTGGAGAAGTCCAGTGTGCCTAGAGTGTGGGATGCCTGTGGAAGGAGCAGGGTTTAATTATGCTCATTTCATTTTCCATAACCACATTTGGGATGTGATGGGAAAAACCCTGGTTTGATTTTAATTGCAATACATAGATTAAAGAGTATTCCAGATGCAGATTAGTGTGTTCTTAAACGGATTCAGTATATTTTAATATAATAAAATGCAGAAGTGTTATTGGGAATAGAATTATCTTCTGTGTTCTCACAATAAATGAGTTTGATTCAATAAAACTGGATTAATTAAACACTTCAGTGGGAAATGGGAAATTAATAGTGGGAGGGGAGCATCACACTCTTCTCTTTGCTCTTCAAATCTCCTCCCTACAAAAAGAGATTCAAACAACTTTATTGGACAACTTTATTCTCTGATCTTGGGAATAAGTCAGCAATGTAAGTTTTCCCCGTATGCCTGCAGTGCAACTTCTGGCAGCACGCTACTGTAATAAGCTGTTGCTCTCAGAAGGTATGTGTACTCTGAACACTAAACCTGGGCTCTGTCTCAGGTTGGAGCCCAACTCCCCCTTTCATCCACACACAGATCAGTCTGACTTGGGTCAGCAAACATTGAGGACTCAGGTTCTTAGAACCCTGATGGGAGGGTTGGATTAGAGCCCAAGTCCAGCTGTGGTATGGGTCCAAGCCCTGTCATTTTGCAATGTGGACACTGGTCAAGCCGTAGGCCTGTGTCAGAAGGTCTATCTAGTGCCGTGTGTAGTGTAGTGTAAGCATGGCTGTGAGACCCAGGTCCAGAAATTGTAAACCCAGGTTTACAGTGCAGTGTGGATGTTCAAGCAGAGGCTCAGAAACACCAGGTCCACAAGCTAGGACAATAGGAAGAATGGTAGAATGTCCAAGATGTTAATTTTTTCTTTCTTTTCTTTTTAAGAGTAATTTCTATAAAGAATTACCATCCGAAGATAAGAATTATCACTCAGATGCTGCAGTATCATAACAAGGTAATGAGAAGACCAAGGGATCTCGCTCTTCAGAGCTACCACAGTATCCCACATCCACTTATTTTAGCTGCCTAAATGGAAAGCATTTTCCTTTCTCAGTAGGAACATGTGAATACAAGTTGTCATGGAATCCACTAAAGAGTTAATTCTGTTGTATTTACATATGCCAGGGACCTTATCAAAACCCTAGGATGTTTGTTACCCTGGGGTGCTGAGCTTCCACAGCTCCCATTGATTTCAGTTGGGCTTGTAAGCACACATCTCCTGTGAAATAAGGCCCAGCTTGATTCACTAAACCATGTATGATGCTGGTATTACCTATACAGATAGGAGAGTGTTTGGGATTACTGTAGAACAGTGGTTTTCAACCTGCAGTCTGTGGAACCCTGGAGTCTGCAGACTATTCCTAAGATTTCCAAAGGGGTCCGCACCTTCATTTCACTTTGAATGGTCTCGTGAAACATACGTTAACTTCTATGCTAAACAATCTGTTCTGTTGTACTTAGCTGTTACACTCTGATTAAGTTTCCCAGACCTGAAGAAGAGCTCTGTGTGGCTCAAAATCTTGTCTCTCTCACCAACAGAAGTTAGTACAGTAAAAGATATTACATCACCTACCTTGCCTTTTTATAACTGTAGCTAAAGAAGTTTAGGCCTGCTCAGGATCCACCTGGTTTTACACAGTGTGATTTCTACTGCCTGAGTTAACTGCACATACATGAGTGGAGGGCAGCTAACATACAGAATTTGGTCCTCCTTCTTTTGTGGAACAGAATCATGCTATTTCTGTATTTTAAACGCCCTCAACAGGAAGCATGTTGTATTAAAAACATGTTTTCTCTTTATATTTCTAATGAAAATTAATGAGGAAATGAAGAAAAAATGATGAATGGTGATAATCCGATTATCAGGAGGAGGAAAGCATGAAGGACTCAGTGTTTGTGTTCATGTGCACGCATATGTGTGTCTGGGATCGAAGGATGAAAGTGGCCACTAGAGTTTTGCATTTCACAAAAACCTCTAGAACGTTCTGTAAAATTTTTAATTTGGCAAAACATATTTTTCTAATGCTTTTTCCCAAGGAAAAATTGATATGAAAACAATTATATATGGAAGTACTTATAACATACTATACTGAATAGTATTAAAAACAATATACATAACTTGTTGAGCAGAGTCAACAATGGATGATTGTTTTTATCCACTATTTCACTGTGCACTAGTCCCATAATCAAAAGCCGGAGAAAAGAGACTCCTTACACCAGGCTCTGTGCTTATTTGATTCTGGGGGTGGGAGAAACCAAAAAAGTACAGGTTATATCATATTGTTTGAGGGCTAGGCTCGTGGACATGTGATTGGGGTACTGTATTTCCACATTAGATTAGATTAAAAACCTGTGTTTGATTTCTGGGGTCTATGTGTGTTTCTTATTTGTCAGGGAGTAACTGAGGTTGCTGTAAGAGGGAGTATACACGGACCTAGGTGCAATGAAAACTTCATAGCACTATGTAACAACTTCAGCTCTGTTGATGGGCCTTACAAAGCCTCCCATCCAGTTTTCCATGGTTGACAGAAGGTCACCATAATATGAGATCTTGAGGGATGCTGGGAGATTTGAACTGAAAGGTGTAAAAGTGGAGAAGTTCCTGATACAAAAACTCTACCGGAAATATTTTGGTTTGAAGGAATATTGATTTAAACCCCCTAGTCCAGTGATGCTCAGACTGAGGCTTGGAAGCTGCAAGTGGCTCTTTAATGTGTCTCTCGTGGCTTTTTGCAGCACATTGATATTAAAACACTTTGTGCTTTTACTATGTTATTAACCAATTGTAGAATACTTGGTCAGTCATTTTCCTGTGAGAATAATGTTTATAAACAATTAATTCACATTACTGTAACTCTTTTTGGTAATGTTGATCGCTGAGGTATGAGTATCACTGCCCTAATCGTATTTTTACCTTCTACAGGAAAAGGAAGTCCAGCATTAAAGGAAAAGATTAGTTGTCACTTGCTTGGATATTTCCTGTGTTAGCAGAATGCAGGGAAAGTATTTGGAGTCCTTTACCTTTGTTTCTTCCTTCAGGCCCATCTGCTAAATATCCCAAGCTGGAATTGGAAAGAAGGGGATGACGCAATCTGTCTTGCTGAACTCAAGCTGGGTTTCATAGCCCAGAGCTGCCTGGCACCGGGCCTCTCGACAATGCTAGCCAACCTCTTCTCTATGAGGTCATTCATAAAGGTAACGTCTTGTCTCATTAGAGTGTGTTAGCCTGGGATTCAATTTGGCATGGGGTTGAGTAGAGAGCACAGCTTAAATTCAAAACAGATAGGGACACATTAACCAGTTTGGTAAAACACACACATACATATACACACACAAATTCTGTTATAAATTGGGCAGTGGGCCAGGTTCTTAAAAAATTGTGTTTTTATTTTTATTTGGCACATCTATGGCCATTAAATGATTGTTCAAAGCACAATCCATTTCAGTTCTTTTTTTTAGATAAACCACATGTTTATCAGGAAAGCCTCTGCTGTTAAAATAAAAATATGATTTATATACATCTCATATGGCAACAAAGCGCCTAGAGAAAAAGAATGATCATTTTGCTCTTTTACATCAAGTGGCTAGTGGACCTCTCACTGTGAGAATAAATGTGGACCATGTGTTTGTACTTAAGCCCAAACCTCCTACAACATAATTCCTTTATTTATTTCTCCTCAGTCAAAGAGACCCTTAGGGCTTTATTTGCAAAAACTTGTAGTGCTGTTGTTCCCACCCTTTTGGGGCAACAGTACCATCTCACTAGACTAAGACCTCACCTGAGTTAGGCCACGTCTACATTACCACTTTGGTTGGTAAAACTTTTGTCGGTCAGCGATGTGCAAAAACACACTCCTTCATGACATAAATTCACTGACAAAAGCGCCGGTGTGGACAGCACTATGTCGGTGGGAGACACTCTCCTGCTGACGTAGCTACTGCTGCTCATTGGGGGTGGTTTAATTATGCCGGCGGGAGAGCTCTCTCCCATCGGCATAGAGTGGCTAACTTGGAGACCTTACAGCGGCATGGCTGCAGTGGTACAGCTGTGCCACTGTAAGGTCTGTAGTGTAGACATAGCCTTAGTCAGTGTTCCTTTCCTCTTATTCTGTTTTCGGGCATTCTTGCTAGATGTAGAGGTTGGCCAGTTTCCAGTCCTGTGCTTGTGATCAGAGGCCAGGACAAGATGGAATGTGAGGTGGGCCATGGCTCCTGAAGTTCATCATGAAAGTGGGCAGGGGTTTCCTAGAGTACTAGGTGGGGAAGCTAGGAGGACTGCCAGTTTGGGTGCACATTCCAGTGGTTAGGAGCCTTTGGTGCAGTGCCGTCTGATATTTATTCTCTTGGCATGAGGTAGAAGCAGGGGTTTCTGAGGCTGCTGTGAGAAACTTCTAGGTGAGAAACATAGAAAGTCATCACAGATCCTCAGGGGCTGCAGACTCTAGTGCAAGAAGCCATCTTAGGTAAGTATATGTGGTCAGAAGAATTCAGCTTTTCAATATGGCAGTCAAATTATATGAAAGCAAACGTGGGCTCCTCACTTTAACATGTGCAATTAGACCCTTTGCTTCTTTTATCAAACCATTAACTTTAACTCCTCTGTCTTCACAAGCTCAGCTTTGCTGAACTCTCTCTAGTTCATTGGCATGCTGCATCTCTGAAGTTAACCACTCTCCTCCTTTTATCCCAAAAAGAAAGTGTAGCAAACATGAAGCAGGTGCTTGTCTCTTCCTTTAATTACATTCTTTAGGGCTGCTGTTCACTTGAGGGTCACTGTGTTGTCCCTTGCTCTGCTGCTAATATTTGTAACCAGAATCTGGCACACTCAAGGGTGTTGAGCTTCTCTGCACCCACATTGGCGTATACCAGCTTTCTTGTGGCACCTTTTTAGGGACAGGCCCTTCTGTGCCTTTGCTTTTGACCCCTTGTATAGGCCATCACCTCTGTTCAGTTTCTGCATTCCTCAGGGCCAGAAGTGAGTCAGCCTCTCTCAGGAAGGACATGTGTGTATCCTCAGTAAGCACTACCCCAATGCAGGTTACTTTAAATTTAAACAGAGTTCACTGAGAAAATTGGGGACAGCATCAACAAGTAAAAATCATGGCTTGGGAGGAAACTGTACCACCTAGATCTTGTAGATCTTTCGATTAAGCAAGATTAAAAATTGTGCATCTTGATTTTAATTTGTCCCTCTTGCCATCGGTGTGTGTCTCTTTCAAGGCTCAGTGGAACACCAGCAACCTGTTCTGCCAGTCTCTTGTTCCTCTTTAAGCCACCCATTCTGTATTTCCTCCATTTCATAATGTATTTCCTCCATTCATACACTCCTTTTCAGCAGTGTAATGAGATGGGACTGACTGATCAACACTGGGTTATCCTTTATGATTTCTACTACAACCTACAGGCCCATTCTGCAAGGCTCTGAGGACTTTCACTGAGGGTTTACAGCATTCTGAACTTCCATTGAAGTCAGATGGAGTCTTGCTGATTCTGAACAGGTGTTTCTAGTTGTATAGTATAATCATGGGAAGATTGCCTAATTTGGTTTATACCAAGGCAACAATGTTGCTAGTTCTTGTTGTATCTGGCACTTAGATACTATTGTGCTGTGCATAGTGCAATGCGTGGATAGATCATAATTTCTGTTGTTCAGTTTCTGGGAGGCCAACAGGCAAAGAGAACATGTCTGTGCTCTTATGAGCAGGCTATTCAGATACTGCATCAGCAGTGTTTTAGGATTAAAACAAAAATATATAGTTTTATCAATGATTTGAGAGAAAACAGTTAATATTGGTTAACATCAATTTCTGCTATCACTACTCAGGAACGATGGATTATTCATGTGGGTAACTGGGTGTAGATATTATCAGGGAGTTCAGATTTCTGAGTTTGTTAATATCTGGAACAAAACAAACACATGAGAATTGATGCATATTAACTAAAACCAAAATCCTCACTCTATCAATGCCAAGACGACGTTGACTGTTTTTAATTGAAATAACATTCTCCCCCAACACACACAAAAATTTGTTTGATCTCAGTAACCATTAATTGATGGAAATTGTGAACCAATACAACACTCAGAGCCTTTGCAACTGCAAGTGGACTGTGTTGATATGGATTGTCAGGAAGGGCTGTATAGGAAAGGGAGAAATACGTTCATAAACTGCTAACTGGGAGTCCCTTTCCTTCCATTGCAAAGTAGCACTCTTTCTAGAACATTTAAGAACTGTCAGACCTTTACAAATTCTTTAGGCAAACATCAGTCGTGGAGTTTTGTACACATCTTAGAACATTGCCAAAAAATCTTACTGAAACTTCTGTATTAGAAAAAAAGTTGGAGGTGTGTTCCCCCTTCTTCCTAACCTGATTAGAAAGTTATTTAATGTGTTGTATATGTTTGGTCAGTCAAAGACAAATGAACTTCATCGGTGGTGATCCCACACACATTTCACTTGTTATACCTTAATCTTCAGCCAAATGATTTGTGTAAACTGTCTGCCCAACATTAAAGGCAAAATAAATTTATAAACCTCAAAATGTTATATTTAAATCTAATATTTTCCTTTTGGTTTTATAGCTGTAGTCTCATATGGAATCTTTTAGTTTGCTCTTGGCAGTAAATTAAACCAAGGGAAAATCAGTTCAAAAATGTTGCATAACATGCAGTTGTAACAGAAATAGTTCTGTAAATACTTAAAAGGAAGAAGGAAAAATTGCGCAATAAAAAGATTTAAGAGAAAACAAATCAAAACCATACAGAAAGGTATATTTTAATAGGTCCATTATTTTTATTATGTTGAATATTCTCTGAGTTATATAAAAAAATGAAATGATATGCCTGTTCATTGCATACATGATCTCAGCACTAGATTGAAATATTGCTCTATACAGCAATTAGAGCAATTACTGTTTATGGTTTGGATTAACAAACATTTGTTTACCATTGTAAAAATATTTTTAAAAGTAAGTAAATAAAGCATGGGATTATGGAGGGCCAAATTTTGCCCTTGGATACAAGCGTGCAACCCCACTGAAGTCACATGATTCATTTTTTTTTTACAGAGTAGAGTTTGGCTGCAGATTTCAATAGGAGTCTGTAAATTATGAACCATCTTTGTAGCTCCCTGATGCTTGAGTCACTGGGCATCATTTTGGTCATGAGGAACAATTTAGAACAGCCTCATGGCTCTGCTAAGTTATATTGACAGCAAGAGCTTCCTAGAGGCTCCTTTGACAGCTAGCATTGGTGATGCCCAGCCATGCCTCCCAGCCTAGTCAGGTTTATGCCACCCAGGCACTCACCTGCTTCAGAGGAAACCCCAAGCTGGCTTTCAGGTTACTGTTTGACCCCAGAGCAGCACAAAGCAGTCTTAGTGTGGAGGTGGGGGTCTGGCCCTAAAACTTCGTTTATCACCAGGAGATCATCAATCAACACCACCAGTGCAGTCTCAATTACTATACCGAGGCATAAACCCAAACTGAGTGGGACTAGGGAGATGATGCTGGAGTATTTTCACCAGAAATTTCTTGGGAAAATTTGAGACAGGTCAACAGACGCTTGTCATCTTTAGGGTGTGTTGCAAAATTACTTTGTTTTGGAGAGTCTTCTGTTGAGTTGAGGAATGTCTCAGGCCATGTACTATGTGAAATAAACCATTTAGATCTGATTCATCTAAAGGATATGGCTTCAGTTTGTGTGCATTGGGACATCTGTTCCTCTTTCTTGAACTGAAGCACATCAAAATATATATAATGCATCCAGATACTATAGGGAGGGGACCTTAGAAATATGTACAAAATTTTAGCAAAAGCCAGCTTGAGTTGCAACATTTTATTTGCTGTAAGATGCTCAGGATGAGGGAGTGATGACCAAAATGCATGGTAGGTAACTTATATATGCTATGCCTAATATGTCCAGTACAGTACTTAGGGGGAAAATAACTGAAGGTATTTCCCTAAGTGCCATATCTGTGTTTTCTGATGTGCCTAAATCAGTTCAGGGTCTATTCATGGAGACAGGACTTTGAAAATTGGTGGGAGAGTCAACTATTAATGTAGTACATTGAAACTGCCCTCGGATGGGAGTAAGAGCCACACATGCTCTTCAGTCTTGTTGTTCTCTCCTAAAGTATATAGTTACTAAGCCATTTAATCATTTGAATACATTAACACCAATTTGCATTAACAAGTGT